TGATAATTATTTGAGATTAGCGCAATTTTTCTTGCTTCAGGCGCATAACTGTTGGCAACCTAGTTTGAAAATTAAGCACCGGTTAACTATATATATGTATATATATATAGAAAAGCAATTTCTTGTGGAATTTAATACTCTATGCCATGCCTGAAGGCATAAATATAACTAGCGTTTACTTAACTTTTTTTCGATATGGTAAATGATTTCTAATAACAACTATACATCAAGCGAGTTTACGTCTATCAATGTCCACTCGCGCAGAGTGTTTTTAATGCCAAGAATAGCGGACAAGCAGATGCCCTTTATGATAAATAGCTCGTTAAAATAACAGACCCTATGTATTATATATAAATATATATATATATATTTTAAGGTACGTACGGCAGATTTTAATAAAACAATTATTTCTAGATAGACGCGATGCACTAAATGTTCGTAACATTAACAGTTCGTGACTATGGACCGAATCGTGGAGAATAAGCTAAGCCGTATGGGCAATAAATTTGGCATTAATGGCAGAGAGGGGTTATCGGGTTGACCAGCTATAGGCAGGACGGTGTTCGAAACAGCCCCATTGGGCGTGAACACTGCTTAAGGCCAAGCTATTTGGGAAGTCTTAGAAAAAATGGTCCTCGTGAACCAGAATATTGTGCCTTAAGAAATGACGGAAAACACCTCCGAGACTGGATTAAGGGCAGTGCTGGCCCGGGTTGAAGAGGGGCGCATGTGGGTCATCGCGTAAGCTAGCAGTCGTCTGATTGATGTCCAGGCCAAATGTTACTCTTCCAAAATCGAGTGCTTGGCGGTAGTGTGAGCTGGGGAGAAGTTCCAGCCGCACATATACGGACAATAGTCCTGCGCTGTGACTGACAGTATCGGGCTGAAATGTTTGAAATGGAAAGTAAGCCTCTGTCCAAAACTGAAGAGCTAAGCTTTGACCGCATAGAAGCCCGACTTTCGAAAGCGTTTACAGGAAGAGCTCCACAACAGCAACTCAGATGCATTGCCGTGGCTGAGTACGTCACTAATACAAGGAGGCGTTTGTTTCTACACACAGTCTCGCCTCAGCTTAGAAGGAAAACGTGGTATCTCAATGTAAATGCCTAAAAATAGTCTAGTGTACAGGGTCGTAAAGGAAGGATGATTCTACTGTACGTCCCTTCCTTGTAGACACAACAAACTATCACTTTGTGGCATTCAACAAAGTGATAGGACACGCTATTATCCGAAAGACGTCGCGGTGCATCAAAAAGAGCTTGTTTATCGGAAGCGGGCTTCGGTCACAGGCTTGAGAGATGCTGGTCCTGTGTGAGGTCTGCCAGCGGAAGAGTATAAAACAAGGTCGCTCGATTACTCCCAACATTGATGCGATGGCACCCTGCAATGGAACGTCTCTGCAGGAAGGTGTGTAT